AAACATCATGACTACAACAAGCCCTTAAATGAGATTGATGATACATGTTGACAGATCGATGTTATGATCCATAATAAATGTTACAAATGTAAGATTAAACCCTGAAACAGGAAGTGTTTCTGAATTTATTAAATATGAAAGAAAGGCAGTATTATTTACTCCAATAGTAGGTAGTATTCATATTCAGGTAAGTACACACACATACACATAAAAAAAAAACGTTTTTACCATTCACAACTACTCACTTCATTTTACTAATGTTACATTTTTTGAAATTTTTTCTGACAAATATGATTTACTGAATGAATAGTTGTTTAAACATTTACGGAATGATTATTTAATGATATTAAAGTTTTTAAGATGCTTTTAAATATTTCATATTCCATAATACCTGAATGTTTATAATATACCCATACATAATTTTCTCTGAAAAAAAGAAATACTTTGAGTTCTTCTTATTTTCTGTAACATCAAAAAACAATCAGTAGTATGCTGTATTATTTTAGTAATAAGTTAACTAGATAAATAATTTGTTGTAGTTTAATTACTTTTTTCTCACTGCCAGTAAAGAAAGAAAAACATATTTATATTTTGTTATTCTTATTATTATGAAATTAAACAAAAAAGGCTTTTTAATGGAAAAGTGAAACATAATACAAGTGGTACATTATTACTTACTTTATATTTTATCAACTGTGAATAATCTTTAAGTTTAACCTAGTAACAAAAAATGTTGACAAGTGATGATGCTTAGTTCTGAATATAATTTGCAGTTAAGAAAAAATTATTCTGATTGATTGATGGATCATATCGATCACATCCATCAAATGCTCACTAATTCACATAAACTTGAAAACTAAATTAAAAAGTATATATTTGCAACTTATATATAACATACACTATAATACATTTTACTGCAGAAGGGTAAAAAAACCCGTGCTAATATAAGTTCTGTGTTAGATTTAATGTAAACTTAACAAGAAAAGCTAATAACATCCTAATGTGAGCCCATCATAAATTTTGTAATAATACTGTATTGAAACAGCATGCTTTATCTGATAATTTATGGAGGACACTAGTAAAATTCTGTATATACCTCCTTAGCATACTACATTTAAATAGTATGTTACAAGAGACATGAGAGAGAAAAAGATTTTAATTAAGAATTTTAATCAGAATTAAGTTTCTTTGAGAACCTACATTTATACAACATGTTACAGGAGAAACAAAATTTTATTGTGAGCTCAGAATTAAGTTTATTTAAGTAATATGTTATAGGACAGGAGGGAGGGAAGATTTTAATAGTATTAGATATTGTAAACACATTACACTAAGATGACAAGCCACTTGAGAGCAGGAAAAAACTGATGTAGGTTGTCAAGTTTAGGGATTCCTAGACATGCTGGTATTATATTCAGACAGCATATTGCAGCAGAAAAAAAGAGAAAACATTATGAGCCTAGTGTTAGGTCTCAGGCAAGTATTACATTTCCACGGGACATTGCAAGGGAAGATGGATGGACCATGTGAGTCTAGTGTTATACTAATATGCTAATAAACTTAAGCAGTATGCTACAAAGAAGAAGAAGGGATAGGACATTTTGGTGAGCTGTACAAATGAATTTATAGCTAATGTCATCATATTTAACTCAATGTTAAAAACAACTTTAGTTCTTGTACCTCCATTCTAAAAACAAAATTACAATTATAGAAAATTTCCAAATATGCACATGATAAATCTGAAGAAATAGTTTTTTACAAGTATTTATAATTCCTACATTTCTTTTATTTGTACTGAAGATCTTTTTAGTTTTTAAGATATATATAATGTAGCTGATTAATAAGTCTTCATAAACTTCATCTTGAATGTTCATGGAATTGCCTTATAGGTTAGATCCCAATTTGTAATTGTTTTGTGGCGGATTAATGATTAAATCCATGAGTGTAAGTTTACTGAAGTGACTGAACAATTTAAGATATTTTCAATGCCCTCCCATTCTCTAGCACCCAATGCTTATCTGTGTAACAGTCAGTGAACCCCCCAAAAAATGCATGGAACAATAAGTGAACATCTCAAGACATACCCATAACATCTCAAATAATGGTGAGCCTTGCAGTCCTCCATTTTAAATTTTTGGGCAAACTCAAAACAGCAGGTGAAAAGCCTGGACTAGATGCCAGTAAAGCTAAGTACATAATTTTACATTTTTACAGGTAACTAAATAGTTTTATGAAATAAAAATCTTTGGTTTTTTAGTAATTTCATTTTTCATAAGTTTCACATCATTAAAAAACTTTTCCCTGTATTTTTTTGCAAAAGAATTAGTTTCTGTACATTTTCAGGCATTTAATTTTTCCTGAATGTTTTGTAAGTGATGTTGAAAAAAATTATTTGAATCGTATCTTATTACTTGTGAAACACGAGTAACTTAAACATATTTTAAAATGATAAAGGCATGGCTGTAAAACTATGGCATAAAAAAAGACATCATTTTTTCTAGAATCACATTTCCTATAAAACATTAGATTATATATATATATATATATATATATATACACACACACACACACACATACAAGGCATTTGGCACTTTTATTGGCATTTCTTAGAAACACATAAAAAGGCATAAACTTCTGTACAAAACTGTAATATATTATAATATAACAAAGTGCAGATCATTGCCATTATTATTAGCTTTCACTTTGAAATTTGCTGACAATATGCTTTACCCACCCTTTTGCAGGCAGTGGTTGTGCATCAGCAGACTCTGTAGAGCTGAATGAAGTACATACTTCATTAACCCGTTCCTCTGTGACTGTGTTGAAGCAGGGATTTGAATGATCTGAACTGCTTTCTCCACTGTCTTGGTTGACCCTGTGAGTACACCACTTCTCTAATTCAAGCCGTCTCTGCTGAATGCTTTTCAAACCATCTACCAATGATTCAGTAAGTTCTTTTTGAATTCTAATATCCTCTTTTTGATTTTGATGAATGTCCTTCAACCCATCGTTGAAAAAAGGAGTAAGTTCAATCTGAGATTTAACTTCTTGCTGATTGTTTTTCTTTATGTCTACAGATAATGGTGTAAGTTTATTCAGAATTTTAATGTCCTCCTTTTGTCTTTGGTGAATGCTCTTTAATCCATCTACCAATGATGGAAGTTTTACCTGATTTTTCTCATCCTCTGTTTTTACTAATTGTGGTATGAATTCTTTCTGAAGTTTAATAATTTCTCCCTGTTTGTGCTCAATATTCTTTATACCATCTGTTGATGATGGTGTGATTTCTTTGTGAAATTTCGGATTTTCTCCCCCCAAGATTTTCAAATTTTCAAGTATTGTGCCATTCACACGGCGAGTGCACACAATTTCTATAGGATGAGGCTCAATATTCAGTATATTTTCTGGGATTGTTTCTGAACTACTTATATTCTTTTTTCTTACTATTTTCTCACTGCCCTGATTGAGATCTTCAGATGTAATTGTATCAGCAGGATGAAGTTTTTTAGTACTATTTATTTTTGAAACAATTTGATCTTTATTTTCACTGGCAAATGCATCAAGATAAGATGATCTCCTTCTCCCTATTCTCTCACTGTCATTAAAGTCCTCAATAGTAATGTTTATTTCTGGAAATGTACATAAAGTTGAAGATGCCTCATAATTTATTACTGAAGAAGACTCAGTAGTACTTAGATCAGCATCTTCTGGATCACTATAAATTGCAGAATCCCTGAACAGATCTTCTGGCATGGTACATTCAATTGCCTCTAAAGACCTCTCATAAAAGCTGTCTCCAGGGCTTTCATTGTTCTGTGAAGAAATTTCCTTCTCCATTCTATCTTTCTGTGTAATGTTATCAGATAAAGATAATAGAGATTCAAAAGGAGCATTCAAGTAACTCCCTCCAGAGAACTTATCTCCATCACTAGATGAAGTGGTGTTTGAAGAATCAGAGAGCAAACTATCAGGACGCACATCCCCATCTTTGTTTGACCTCAGCTGACGACAAACAAACAAAGAGCTTGGTACACAATATTCTGATTCATGTAGACCAGCTATACGAGCACCAATTACTGAGCTCCCTGGTTTATGAACATAAATTGAATTTTTCTTTGAAATAAAGTCATTTGGAATGGATTTACTTTCTCTATTTTCTTCATCTTTTGTGAGTCGCTGCCTCCTCATGGTAGAATATGCTCTGGCAATAGAACTGCCAAAACGGGCTTTAAGAACTTTTGTATCAGTTTCTTGATGAGATCTAGCAGTTGAACGACTTGCAGGACATTCATCCATGCTCTCTAATCTTGGAGAAGAATCACTAGTACTTGACATCACAGATTTATTGTCTGACTGGTCGGTCATGGGAGACCCAAAACTAGCTTTAAGAAAAGATATCTTTGAACTAACATTGGATATTACAGTTCTGAGAGTAGCATATCTAGAGGCTACCTGTCTGTATACCTTGTGTTCAGGATGGATAGACATATTCTCCATGCTAGCTGCAGGTGTTGTAGCACAGGTTGCCAGTCTATCTTCAGAATTTACTGGAAACCGAAAATCATGCTGCTTTTTATAAGAAGCTGAAGCTATATAATGCTCAAGGTCCTCCATAAAATCTTCACATAAGGGTTTGTCTGAGGCATTTCTGAATGGTCTATGGTCACTATAAACATTATGATTAGTTTCCACCCTCATCCTACCTTTTTCTACATCAAGGTGACTTGTTGATTTGTTTGGCTCCATGTCACTATAGTCATGGCCAAACTGGAAACTACTGGGTAAAGATCCATACTTACTTGAAGACTCTGCCAAATGGTTCTGTTGTTGTTTTAACCACACGTCTGGGGCAGTTGGACAGTAGCTTTCTTTGGAATGTGAGACAGGAGGAGGAGGAATGGAGAACAAAGTAATCTCTTCATAATCTTTACTTTTAGTTTTAGGTCGAGGTACTATTTTAGGTTTTGGAGGCAAGCCAGAGCTGCTTGTAGATTGTTGTCGAAATGAAAGTGATTGATGAAGGGAAGCAACTTTGGCTTTGGCTATCCCAGTGAAGGAATGAACTCTTCGAAGAGCTGCATTTTGCTTCCATGATGAATCACTTGAGGTGCTACTAGTTTCTTCGCTATTATCTGTTTTAATTTCTACAGTCCCTAATTTATTCCATAGGTTCATTAAATTGTCATAGTTACCATGTTTTTTACTGTTCTGATTACAAGGACTTGGCATAGAAGTGTTTACAGACAATGGTGATGCTGAATTACTCATTGATTGTCTTCTATTTCCTGTTGAAACTGTAGATTGATCAGCAGTTGCATTTTCATAAGTATGATTTGAATTATCTAGGTCCCGACAAGCATATCGATGTGCAAAGACAAAAGTAACATACTCTCCAGCAAGGTCTTCTAGCATTTCTTCCTCGGTTCTGGCTGGTCTTGGAGGAGGGCAGAGCTGAAGGATACGATTTATATCAATCCGTTCATAGTTGTCTTCCATCTCAGTATCTGTTGTTTCATCTGGCAGGCTATTCCATGCTTTCCAATACGGCCTTCTATTTGTATTTTCTTTTTGAACTTCAGGGATATGTGATGAAATGCTTTCATTATCAGTGTCATTGGTGGCTCCTTCATCTGGTTTGTGGATAGATGGTGGAAATAGTGACATAGATCTCTTTCTGACAAAAACACAGTCAGAATCTTCAGCATTGTTTTTTGTTGTCTGTAAGAAATAAATATGTAAATGAAATTTCCTAATCATTGAAAATGAAAGTTAATGCACATTATCTGAGGATATAGATATCATTAAGATAAAAAAAGCAAATAATCTACTTCTACAGTAACAATGAAATAACTATGAATTACAATACCTAACATGTTCTACTAGAAATCTGAAGCAAAATTATACTTTTCCAAAACAGGTAATTGTTTCAGTAACATTATTTCTAAATGAAATAGAAATATTATGTTCATAGAAACAATATCACTAAATGGTTTCATGTATTTGATCTAAACATAAAATTATGTTAAAAATTGTATATATACACCTGGAAAAAAGTTAAGCACCCCCATGTTTTTTTCAAGTGATTCAGATTCGACGTTCT